AGCCGGTTCCTCCTTAAAGCGCGTAGGATACACGGATTGACGAAGTTTGGCTCGGTTATTCGAGAACCACCACTCCTGTACCACGAGTTCACTCCACTCCTATGGAGTTTCATTCAACACGGGTGGCGCGCGCCTCCGCAAACCGGTATTCGGTTGCTCTATCCGTGAGAATGGCAAATATAACACGGCAACGACGATTGTGTAAGGAAACGAGCGCGATCTCGGTTCCCTCGAAATTTCGTTACGCAACAGGCGTGGATTCGATTAAAGATGAAGAAAAGTAGAGGCGGGCGAGAGAAAACTCGTGGGTGGACCAGGGTTTCGAAACGAAACTGGGGTGGGATGGGTAGAGAAATTTACTTTCGGAAGGGATGTGTGATTCGTGTTTGGATAAGGGAAACTGCGGTAAACATGGTTCACGTATCAGTGACACGAGACGGGAGGCTTTCCTTTCAAAATACACGTATGAATGGTCGGGCCGTGTGTCTCATTTCCGATTCATTAAATTCTAAAGAGTTGTTCCGTGACGAGGCGGCACCGAGATAGGCGGCCGGGTCGCGCGCTCGCAACCGTTCCTACATTATGCGCGCACGGACTTTAATAATAATTTAAACGGGATGTAAATCGAATGGAAGACTGCGGGGAACACCGCGCTGCATAGAAATGCACGTGGCTTAATTAAAACGCCGCTTTTATGAAACAAATATTTATCGCGATGCACCAACCAAGACTAAATTAATCGGTTGCGTGATGAAACCTGCATTTCTTTCTGATTTTTTTCCATCTTTTCTCTCTCTCTCTCCCTCTCCCTTTCCCTCTTCCTCTCCATCTCTCTCTCTCTCATTTTTGGTTTATACACTTTACTCGTTATATGGGTATGAAATGGGGAAAAAGAGAGAGAGGGAAAAAAAAAAAGCGAACCGATGGAAGGATAGAACAGAAACTCTCTTTGACGGTCAATATTTGTAAACGTTTATTTATCGATACGCATTGTCCATTCGTAAATTGAATACTGGGTGAAAAACTATACATTTCAATGGGACACATGGTATCCCAGTTTATTTGCCGTATGCAGTTTTTTTTCCCCCAATGAAACAAATTTCATTGTTTCGCTTTTTTATAATAAGTATCGATTCGAAGAGAGCGGTGCGCACGTACCCAACCCCCCATCCACCAACCGATCGACCTGTTTGCACTCTCCAGCAGCTACCACGTCCTTTCTAATTCGCTCGTTTCGTTTCACGTTTCCATCTCGTTTCGCTCCCTTCCGAATTCGACCCAACACACGATGCAACTTGCCGCGATTCGAACAGTCATTTAACCCGATCCCAACTTACGCGATTTTGGCTTTCGTTCAGTTTTCGTTTTCCAAACTTCCGATGAAACTCCAAGATATATACCCGTACCCGATTCGAACGCGCGGAATAATTTACGCGTTTATGATTTCGATATGTATATATACATGTGCATATATGTATCGTCCGTTTAACGTGCGAAACGTTTCTCGAATCCGTGTATAGATACGCGTGTACACATTAATCGAGCGCGAAGTATAATCGACTCGACGAGGCGGGGCGTGGTAACGTTTCGAAGGTTTTAAAGGAAAACGTGATCCGAATATCGTATTTATTCCTCCCTTTATCTACTTGATTGTAGTTCGATTGAAATTCGTTACGTTACCCGACTTATTATGGGGACACGTCCTCTACCGATTTTCCTCGTTATTTTTTTCTCTATCTCGCCGCGTTCTTTTTTTCTTTTTTATTATTATTCTCGTGAATATCTCAACTTGTAAAAAACGATGGAAATTCCGCGAGCAAATTTCGAACGTACGTGAGCAACCGTCCCCAGGGGTTTCCATACCACTTTCTTCCCTTCCGTTTTACACCGTGTCACCTGTTTATCTCGTTTCTCATTATTTTTTCCCAGATGCATCCCCAAATGCTCGGTTCGCGATGATCCACGTAATCGTTTCATTGGTTTTATATATATATATATATATATATATATAT